TCTTGGGTTCTTGGGTCCTTCAAGGTTGCACCTGCTGGGCTGATAGGTGGGGAGCTGGGGGAAGGGGCACTCCAGCATGCTGGCCATGGCACTGCACCCTCTCACCTCTCAAGGCCCTGCGTTCCCTTTTGTGGAAGAGTCCCAGTGAAGGGGCAGATAGAGAAAGAGACTAAAGTCTGCCAAATGATATGGAAAGGAAACCGAATTATAAATTGCTGTGGAACAGAAACCTAATTAGATTGAACACGTACTTGACTAAATACTCATTAATGATTCCTTCCCTGCACCACAGTTCTCATCTTCTGTTCCCTTCTCCATCCCCCAAACTGGACATCTTTTAATGCTTCAGGCTTTTTTCTCTCACTTACCTAAGATTTCTGTACATTTTTCTTTTAAAAAAAAAAGACAGATTTTATTTTATTTTTGTTTTTTTTCAGCCCTACCTGGCTGTACTCAGGCCTTACTCCTGGCTCCTGTCCCTGGGATCATTCTTGATGGTGCTGGGGAGGGGACAGCCTCAACCAAGGAAAACACATGCCCCAAACTAATGAACACTCTGGCTCCTGGACTATCACTATCACGGTCCTCCCGTTGTTCATCGATTTGCTTGAGCGGGGCCCAGTAACGTCTCCATCGTGAGACTTGTTGTTACTGTGTTTGGCATATCGGATACATCACGGGTAGCTTGCCAGGCTCTCCCCTGCGGGCGAGATACTCTTGGACATTTTCTTCTATTTTCTCTAGTGAAATATTTACTTTTGAGCACTACTTTTTAGTTTGTAAAAGTAAGATTTTATTTTCCAAATAATCTCCTCTATAGTTTACCCTTACTGCTGTGTGGCTGTCATATTTCTGTTATCTCTGAAAATATTTATAGATTCTTTGTCTCCCAGACCATCTTCAAAGTTCCTTTTTTCCTGTTTGCTTGTTTTTCATCTCTTGTTCATGTTGGAGTTTTTTTTTGTGTGTGTGTATATTTGGTTAACTTTTGATGTCTCTCTTTTTTAAAAAGAGCATACAACTTAAAAAGTGATGATGGAAGAACTTTATGGAGTTGGTGCAAGTGAGACTTTTACTAAGGTTTATTGTGAGGAGTTAGCAATTTTTTTCATTATGTGATTTCCATTTCAGTGTCTTTTTTTTAATAGTTGCTCAATTTTCTGTAAGAGAAATATTCCCCAGTTTCTGCTGTCATTAGTGTCCACTATAGGTCTGGCTTTCAGTGGTTTTCTAGTCGGTGTTCTTGGGTTGAGCTGGGAAATTGTCTGTTCACCACGGGCACTTCCATGCTTTTGAGACTAGACTCTCCTTCCTGCCCTCTTCCTATCTGCAAGCCAACAAATGGTGCCTGAATCCCAGACTCTGGCTCCTTGAACTAATCCTCTCTGGGGCGAGTGATTGGAGCCTCCAGTGAGGAGATCTAAAGTATACTTTTATTGGAGAAGATTTAAAGCCCTTCAGCCTCTTTTCCTTCTTCTGTCCTGGTCTTTCAAAAGGCCCTTGTCATTCTTCAGTGGCTCCCGGATTGTGCCTCTAGAATAGGCTTGCTTTAGAATGTGCTTCTCTTTGATCTTTTCCTCCCTAGTCTGGCGCTTAGTATGGTCTTCCTGTATTTTGTTTAATCAGCTACCATGTGACCATAAACTTTTCATCTCCAAAATTTCTTGTCTGCTGTGTTTTCTTTGACATTGTGGGATTTTGGCTTTACAAGAGTTGTTTTTGTGGAGGTTACAGAGATAAATGCAAGTTTTGAGACTGCCTTATGCTAATTGTGAATCTGTTGACTTCATGTATCTTTTTCTGTCTCGCCTTTTCACTTTGCAGCAATTCTGCCTGCTTAGATCCTGACTATTTATCTCCAGGCTTTCTTTGATATTTGTTTCAAGGTGATTAGCAAATTTCTCATTTATTTGTGTTTTGCACCACATCTGGTAGTGATCAGGGACTGTTACTGGAACTGTGCTCAGTCGTGACTCCTGGTGGCAAATGAGCAGACCCTATGCTGTGTTATAAATAATAATATTGGGGTCAGCTTTATGCAAGGCGCATGCCTTACCTTCTCCTGTGCGATCTCTCTGGGCCAAGGACACTACATTTTAATCTTGATGCATGAGAGGAAAGCTGAGATTTCAGTTTGGTTGTCCACGGGGTTGTTTTTCAAGTGCAATGTGCCAGGGCAGGCTCACAGCTGTTCTTCACAGCACATACCTGCAAGAAGCAGCTACTGTATTATTCTTCCCAGATGACAAAAGAGAGCAATAATTTCCCTTTCAGGTTGACTTTAATAAATATGCATTTATCTCCTATTTTAGTCAGCTAGGCCTCTTGGTGTTTGTCACTTTTATTATTTTGGGATTTTTGAGAACATGAGGTATTTTATAATATTCTTCTAATCTCATCTATGGAATTATATGTGTAGCATTGATTTAATAAATCTGCCTTGATTGGTCTGGAATTATATATTGATTTGGACATAGAAATAGATAAATGGAACTTGTGGTTGCTGCTAGTACTGTTTTGATTTCTAAGTGAATTGAGTTGAGAATTCAAGCACATGTTAATATACTCAGAACTGGAGATGCTGGTGCCTGCGGGCATGACTGTCATAATCTGAGTTGGTCATGAAAGACTTTCCTGAGGAAAACTATGTGTTGGAGAATCTGGTAGATGTAAATTAGTCATAAGCGAATGATACTACTCTTTGGATCTACTTTAATGTCTTTACGAGTTGCCTTGTATTGGAAATATTCTTCTAACAATATTACTTAAATAATATATGATTGGAAATTTCTGAGAAGCATAGTATTTGGTGAAATGAAAAAAAAGCATTTTATTCTCAAAGCGATCATTATCAATGACTTGTTGATTGTGTGCAGGTATAAATAATGTGCAACAGTAAAACTTTCTCTTCAGAAAGCAACAGTAGTGCCACATCTCTCATTTAGGGCTAGGAGAGTTGGTCAACTTTTGGAAATAGGAGTTGCATTAAGACTTTTCCCCCTTATTTCTCTAATTCATTCAATTCACACAATTGCTTTTCTTCTGTGGTTGGTTTAAGAATGAATCATTCAGGCGGGGATGTGGCTTAGTAGTAGAAGTACTTTCTTTGCATGTGTGTAAGGCTCTGGGTTCAATTCGTGGAGCTTTTACTCTGATACAGGGTTTGATCAATTTGGTTATTATGTCTAAACCATAGAGATTTTCCCTCACCTGGTTAGCCCATTTCAACCATATATTTTCATAAGAGCCTACATAAAGTTGAATACTATTCTGGATGGCAGATTTAGTTATATATACTTCTACCTTACAGTTGTGACTTAATTCAGACTTGGGGTCAGAGCTCGATCATTTATACAGGCAGTTGTGATGCATAGCTGTATGTTTGGGAAGCATTATTTCTAGGAGAATCCCTGCATAAATATCACAACAAGTAGTATTTACCTGAATTTAAATAATTGCTTATGCAATGCTAACTTTGTGTCTAGGCATTTTCTTCTTTCATGAATCAAATAAAAATTGAGTTTAAGTAGCACTTTATTCAGAAGAAGATAGCTCAGAGGTTTGGAGTACATGCCTTGCAAACATGAGCCCCTGGGTTTGAGCCTCCATAGCACATGCCTGCACCTCTTGCCCTCCCTGCTGGGGTGGTTCTGGTGCCACCCAGCACCTTCTTGCTAGGCCCCTGCTCAAAATCAGAGGACTTTAGATGGGTGGAATATAGTTGGAGTCAGAGTTTCCCAACCTACTTGGCCAAACTGTTCCTTTTCAGGAGGGGGAAAATCTCTTAGTGCTCTCCTTGAAATGTTCCCTCTCGATGGTACAGCAGAAAGTGGCCTCTCCCCCAAGCTGCATCTGAGGCTGCTGCTGCCTGCTTGGATTGTTCCAGCATCGCTTGTGCTCTGCCCTTCTCCCTACTTTCGGAAACACTGGAGTGACCCCTGGACCCCTGAGTACTATTATGGGGAAGCCCGCCACATAATAACTTTATATTCATATTTTTGATTTGATAATGTCTGTCTCTAAAACACTAAGGGGACTTTTTAAAAAGAAATGTGTGCTGCATTATTAGCGCATTTACTTAACTTACCTTTTCCGAACTTCAGACTTTGCTTTTCAGATAACTGAAGTTGCCTGTCGAGGTGGTAGAATTTTTATTTTCCTATCATATTATATACTTGGAATTCTAGGAACTGTACAATTTCTTGTAACTGGAATTGGAAGAATGACTGTACTGATTCTGGAGTATCCTTGGAACTCTTTTCACCTATTGTTCTTTGACTACTTTGAGTGTAGGTGCTTTAGATTTGTTATTCAGCTACGTAAGGGCTATCAAATTGTTAAAAGTAGTGCACATTTTCAACTTATTTTTCTATAGTCTAGAGTTTTAAAATATAAACTACAAAATTAGTGCCAAGATGAGTTTTTAAACATTGTTTGTATGTGATGTAGGTAATTGTTCTTTTGAATACCTAGCTCTCTGATTCATATATGAAACTTTATTGTTTGCAGTTAACCAGATAACTGTGTTATAAATGATGAGATTATTTTTATCATGTCATGTAAGAGTGGAGATAGTTCTAGAATCACTGAATTCATTAACCTAACTATGTCAGCGTTCTGGGTCATTTTCTCATTTTTTTTCCCATCGTGGCCACAGATGACTGCTGTAGATCTAAACATCAAATTCTTTTACTACAAAGTTCAAAAGCCAGAACAAAGATCAGGATCTTTTCCACCAGTAAGCTCTCTTTGAAACCCCTGCTTCCACCCCTTTAATCTTGAGAAAAGTCTGTTCATTTGGGGACTATATTATTCTGTATGTGCAACTTTGTGATTTGGATATAAGCCAGAGCTTTCACTCTTTAATATCATAGTCATTGGCACTCTTTTTTGTATTTGGTACAGTTTATTTTCTCCTCAGGTAAAACTCTTCAGTGATTTAACTTGATTTTGGCAATAGTTTTCTGATTCTTTGAAATTAATTGATACTTGTTTGCCAGGTGGATTCTCCACAGTTTTCCTGGTGCGGACTCATGGTGGAATGCGTCATGCATTGAAGCGGATGTATGTCAATAATGTGACAGACCTCAATATTTGTAAAAGAGAAATTACAATTATGGTAAGTGAATGAGTAATCCCAGTATAAAAATTTAATGTTTCGTATTCCTCCATAGAATTAGCTAGGTTTTAGGCTGCATCTATAAAACCTCTAAAGATGGTTAGATTAATTGGTTAGATTAATTGGGAAATTATTTGGGAATTTATAGCCCATTCATTACAACTACACTGAAGTTTAGTTAATTGTTTCCACCTCCATTCTCCCTTCCCTGTTGTAGTTCAGTGGGCAAGTTAGTTTGCTTTCTATTTTTTAATTATGGAATATTTAAGGATGGAGAAACTTAGAGGACTATATAATCAGTACCAGTGTGTTCACTAACCAGCCTGTTGGGGAATGGTAGTCATGGACCAGAGAAATAGTATTGGGGGGAAAAGTGTGTGGTTTGCAACCCTGGTTTGATCTTTTGTACCACATGGTCCCCTTAGCATTGCTAGGTGCAGCCCTGGAGGCCCGCAAGTTCTGCAGGATGTAGCCCCAGTCACTCCCGTCAGTGCCAGGCCACTGAGCAAGCTTTGGTTGGCTGAGAATTTCCTGGCTGGGGTCCCCCAGCTCTGTCAGCACAGTTTGGAAGATTCCTCCTCCTCTCAAAATAATGAAAATGGCATCAGAGTTTGCCCTGTCTTATTTTTTACAAAAATTTCTGTAAATAACATAAATTTATACTTCAAATCATTGTTAAAGTTACAGCTCCCATGTATGTGTTCACTTTTGAAAATTTTATTTCTTACAGAAAGAACTGTCTGGTCACAAAAATATTGTGGGTTATTTGGACTGTGCTATTAATTCAATTGGTGATAATGTTTGGGAAGTGCTTATCTTAATGGAATATTGTCGAGGTAAGTATCTTTGTGTAGCTGATTATACTAGAAAAATTGTTCTTAATATGGGTTACTAGGTGCCTAGGGTTTTCCCTGTCTCATTCTGTACACTTCCTGCAATCTCTTCTTTTTAATTATCTAATTAAGAAATGCCATTAAAATATTTAAACCTAGTTATAGTTGCTATAGTGATGAAATGAACTTGTAAATGGAGAAGAGGGAAAAAAATTAAGTATAAAAGTAAGGGAATCTTTTAGGTAAGTAGTAGTCACACTGCATGTTCCCTATATAATTTTTTTATAGTCCAACTAATGTCAGTATTACTGTTAGACTTACCTTAATGCTCTGCCATGTTTCATGAAACTACATGCGATAATTTAGAGGATGCATTTTGATGTATAATCTTTTAAAACTTGTTTTAAAACAACTAGGTTCTTTCTGTAAATATCAGAAGATAGAAAACCATATTAGTACTTAATGTGATATTGAGATGTGTGTAAGCATTTCTTAGATATACCTTTCATCGCTATGGAATGTTTTTAATCTGAAATGTGATTTTTTTTTTACTTAAATTAATTTTGACAATGTGATTTTTAGTATGAAAGTTTTTTTTTCTCTGTCATGTCTTTTTTTTCAAAATATACCTTACTTTAATCTAGGTGTCCGTTTTGAGTTATCTCAAATTCATTTAGATATCAGTTGCAGATTAAAAATATTTTTTCCTTTTGTTGATTTTATATTTTCTGTATTTTTCTTTTTTTGCTGTTTTTTTTTTTTTATGTTCTTTTCAAATGTTCCAAAAACCTGACTTGCTGTTTGTATTACAGATCGGGTGTGTCATCTGAATGGGTAGTGTTATATCTTCTTTTTTTTGGGCCCAAACTCAACAGTACTCCTGGATCAGCTCTATGCTGAGAGGGGTAGCCACTTTCTGTAGTGCTCAGGGGTTGATACAGTGAAAGGAATTGAACCTCTGCCATCTGTGTGCAAAGAATGAACTCCAGTCTGTTGAACTTTTTCTCCAGTCTCCCCAAATTTTCTATGTGTCTATATCTATATGTATATCTATATAGTAAGAGAAGGAATCCACAGAATATGAATCATACATGTTCAGTTATTTTTCCTATATGAATCACTCGTATCATTTCCTTTTTCTCCCATGACAGGGGGAATGAGTTGGAGAGGCAGATGAAGAGAGTAGATAAATTCTCTTACTTCCTCTATATTAGCTAATTATATTACATAAAATTGTTTAAGGGTTAAGCTCCTTTTTTCTTTTTCCCCAAATAGAGTAGAAGAATGTGTTGTATAGCTGTGATGTGCTCCAACAAGTGTCATAGTCAGCTTTAGTTAAATGTTAGTTCTTTGTAGGTTTAAATTTGGGAATGTTCTCAAGTTTTGTTAAAGATTTAGGTACCAGATTTCTAGAAATCAGGAATTGATATTTTCAGCATATTCCAATTTTAATAAAAGAGCCTTTAAACTTTTATTTATTAAGTTTTTGTTGAATCATTGCGAGATACAGTTACATGGTGGAATTTCAGTCATAAATGTACCAACACCCATCCCTCACCATGTATAGTGTCTATTTCCTGCCACCAATGTCCCAGTGACCCCCACCCTGACACATACATACCAGTCAGCCTCTGGCAGGCACTTTTAAAAGACCCTTTTTAAATTTTAGGATGGTTTCTGCAGTTTTCATGGATAATTTGTTAGCTTTTATTTAATAACATCTCCAAACACCCCCAGAAACAGTAGCATAAAACATCTTGCATTGCTTGAGAATCCCAGAGTCAGCTCTTGTAGACCAAGCTTGTGCGGTGGCACAGTTCGTTTATTCAAGATCTGCTCTCCAGCTAGTGTGGTGCTGTAATTAGTTGGGTGACTCTGTTTCGCTGTTTCTTATCCTCCCTGTTCAGCACTAGAAGGGATTTTGGAAAGAGATATGGAAGATACAATAATTGAATGAGTAAGGAAAAGATTGGGTCTCTTGAGGCCTAGCCCTGACACTGTGCACTGTCCCTTCTACCTTACTCTTCTCCAGTCGAGTAAGGTAGAAGCCCAGATCAGAGCGTGCAAGTCTCCCACAGCTGTCAGGAAGAACTGTAGTTAATGGCCAAAGCATGAAAGGGGGGATGCTATTGGGATCAGTTATAGACATCTATGCTGGGTAAAATAATATTAAAAGCACGAACATTTTAGATGACTAGAGTTAGAAAAATTTTAATGATGAAATTGAAACATGTAATACTGTTTGAGATGATGCTACCTGTTTGAGAAGTCTGGAAAGGTTTGAGAGCTATCTTCGTCTTGTTTTTAAGAAAAAAAATCTCTGTACAGTGTTTAATTCTTTTTTTTTTATTGCTTTTTGGGTCACACCCGACAATGCACAGGGGTTACTCCTGGCTCTGCACTCAGGAATTATCCCTGGGGGTGCTCAGGGGACCTTATGGAATTGAACCTCGGTCAGCTTCATGCAGTTGCTCCAGCCCCAGTGTTTTAATTTTAAAACTTAATTTTTCATAGAGTAACTCTAATTTTCAGAGAACTTTGATTTTGAATAATAAAATTTGTTTTTGCCTGCTTGTGAAGAGCAGTTCATTTGATAACTGTCAGTTTTTCTGGCTTGGGTTTTATGATTCAATATTTTAACCCTAAGAACTCAAAGTAGAAGGAGGATTAGCATTTGTTTAAGGGCTGGCATTCATATTTGCATGTAGTAGAACCATATTTGATTCCTGGTACTTCATGATTTCCCAGCACTTCCAGGAATAACCCTTAAGTACAAAACTGGGAATAGCCCCTGAATATCACTTGATGTGGCGCCCTGTCTGCCCCCATCATCTTTAATAAACCCATTTATTTTAGCTTATTCATTACTGCATTGACTGTTTGGGAGTAAAAGTTCTGGATTTTTTAGCTGTGAAATGATATATCGGGCTACCGTGGGTAAGGCGTTTGTTTGCCTTGCACGCGGGCAGCCTGGGTTCAATTTCCAGCATCCCATATGTTCCCTCAAGCATCGCCAGAAGTAATTCCTGAGAGCCAGGAGTAACCCTATGCATCGCCAAGTGTGACCCAAAAACCAAAAAAAAAAAAAAGAAATGATATTTCAATAATACGAATGAACATCAAGAGATCACTTTTATCTTGTATGATTTTGGTTAAAATTTATCAGGTGTTTTGAGAAAGGGATGGAAGAAACTGCTAGCTACCTTTACCACCAAACATTTTAATTCTGTCACTGTCACAGTCCTCCTATTGTTCATCGATTTGCTCGAGCGGGCCCAGTAATGTCTCTCTTTTGAGACTTGTTACTGTGTTTAGCATATCGAATACATCACGGGTCGCTTGCCAGGCTTTGCTGCGTGGGCGGGAGACTCTTGGTAGTTTGCAGGGCTCTCCGAGGGGCGGAAGAATCGAACCTGGCTCGGCTGGGCGGGCTGCATGCAAGGCAAATGCCCTACCGCTGTGCTATCGCTCCAGTCCTTAGAAAATATATGAAAATGTTGAGATAGTAATAATATAGGTGTATATGCATCTTCTTACAGATTTCAGAGTAGCAACATTCATTTATTTAGTCTTGTCTAAGTTTCAAGTTAATAATCAGCTTGTCTTCTAAAATTTCTTTACTATTTAAATTCTTAGTGTGACTTTTAGGATGCTTTCTGAGTGAATCACAGATGTAGTTGTGCCCTTAAAATGTGAGCTAACTTTTTCTTAAAGTTAATGTTCTTGTGGGTATGGTGCGGCCAGCAGGTCAATCTGTACCTGTGAGGCAAGTGCATCAGCAGCCTGATGGCGCCTTCAGACTTCCAGATACCCCGAAATTGCTGCTGTGTCTTTGGCCAGACCCCAAAAACTTGGGGCAAAGTTTACCAAGAAAGTAAACAGCCAAAAGTTAGGTATGTGGGAGACACAGCCACAAGCCACCTCAGGCTCAGCTATGTAATTGGAGGCATGGCCTCTTTGGTTCCTAATTGAACTGCTTAACGACCATGATCCCAGAGACTCAGAAACAAATCTCAAAACCCATCAGCTTTTGGCAGAAATGGTCCTGTTACTGTGTTGGGCCAACCCAGGTGGGAATAGGTTTCGTGCCTTGGCCTGTTCCCCCTGGCGGCCCAGTGGCCGCCATCCTTCAGAGGCCACTGGACAGTCAGGTTTGGGCCCCTAGTGATGAGACACGCAGGGCCTCACAGGATGGGGGTGGAGCTGGTCCTGTCTTCCCCACCCCAACAAGACCCCAAGTCATTACCCACAAACGGCCTCTCTGGCTCCCGATCAAGCTTCTCAATGGCCATGATCCCAGAGACTCAGGAGCAAATCTCAAAACCCAGTGGCTTTTGGCAGAAATCCCTCCTGATTTAAGTGTTAAAATTTCAGAATTTCAAAATCACATGGCCCTACTTGCAGCCACGCGACATCATGTGTTATTCATAACCAGCAATAGAACACAAATTGTCTGCTGTTGCCTTTTCAGCAGATCTGAGTGTTGGGGTAAAACCTCAAATAATAATGGTGGGTCTGGTGTCAAAATATTGAATGTGATCAAAGTAGAGAGAGAGTAATGTGGAAATCATCTACCCCACAGGTAGGGGGAGGGTTTGGGATGGGGGCAAAGTAAAGTAAAAGTAAAGGCCCTCCGGTTGATCATCGATTTGCTCGAGCGGGCCCAGTAACGTCTCCATTGGAGACTTTGTTGTTACTGTGTCCGGCATATCGAATACATCACGGGGAGCTTGCCAGGCTCTGCCGTGCGGGCGAGATACTCTCGGTAGCTTGTCGGGCTCTCCGAGAGGGGCGGAGGAATTGAACTCGGGTTGGCCATGTTGGCTGCGTGCAAGGCAAATGCCCTACCGCTGTGCTATCGCTCCAGCCCTGGGATTTTTGGTGTTGGAGAATGGGCACTGGTGAAGGTACGGGTGTTTCATCGTATGACCGAGACTTAGACCCGAAAGCTTTGTAACTGCTCTCATAGTGATTCAGTAAATAAAATTATAAAAAATGAAAAAAAAAGTAAGGTGGAGTTCATGCACAATTCAATCAGCTAATCAGTTGTTGAATAAATAGCAGCACTCCTACATAAAAAAGTTAATGTTCTTAAATGTTAATTAAAAACTATCATTAAATTATGAATTACTATATTAAAATCTATCATAATTCTCTAGGGCTCATTGTATACCGGTAGCTATTTGCTTATAGTCATATTCTTTTACCTTTATTAAGAGCATTAGTTTCTTAATCCACCTCTGCATTTCTTCTTTTGTGATTTTCCATTCCTTTTAGTATAGCAGAACTTAAAGTCAAACCTTGGGGTCAGAGCAATAGTACAGTGGATAGGGCATTTGCCTTGCACATGGCCGACCCGGGTTCAGTCCCTGGGCATATCCCATATGGTTCTCCAAGCACTGCCAGGAGTGATTCTTTATTACATATCCAGGAGTAACTCCTGAGCATTGCTGGGTGTGACCCAAAAAGCCAAAAAAGAAAAAAAAAAGTCAAACCAGGAAGTTCCTTGGTTTTTTTTTTTTTTGAAGTTCCTTGGTTTTTAAGATAAAATCTAAAAGTAGGACATTCCTGATTGCTTTGTTCATTTTATGTCATCTTCTACTTGCTTCTGCTTCTTAGATTGTGCCTCCACTGGTTTTCTTTAAATTATAAAGTTCCTTCCCCAAACAGAAGCCTTTCTATACTTTTTAGGCTGCTCACTATTGCTGGATTGCTCTTCTCCAGATCTTTGTCTTGGCTGATCGTTCCTTTTTCTGGAGTCTCCTCATACATACTATCTTTAGACACAACTCTCCTCTCCATCCTCTTTGATTTAAATTTAGGTTTTTAGGACTGGAGAGAGACTGCAGGGTAAAGTCGTTTGCCACGCATGCAGCTGGTCCCCAAGCATTGCTGGATATAGCCCTGGAGATCCAAAGCCTGCTGCGGCCTGAGCAGTCCCTGGCCTTACAGAGCCTGAGCAGCATTGATCACATTCTTGACTGTTATGGAACTGTGGGTCTGGTTGGCTGTGAATCAACCATGAAGCCCCACCTGAGCATGCACGGGAGACCAGTTCTGTGAATGTTTGATGTGTATCTTTAGATTATACTTTTTTTTTTCCTTTTTGGGTCACACCCAGCGATGCCCAGGGGTTACTCCTGGCTCATGCACTCAGGAATTACTTCTGGTGGTGCTCAGGGGACCACATGGGATGCTGGGAATTGAACCTGGGTTGGCTGCGTGCAAGGCAAATGCCCTACCCGCTGTGCTATCGCTCCAGCCCCAAGATTACACATTTTTTGACAGTAGAAATTTGATTTTTAACCATTTTTTTATAAACCAATATTGGGTAATTTTCCCTTCAGATCTGATACCATCAGTTACAAGATACATCCTGATTTTGGAGGTGACAAAATGTTTTTTGAAAAGTCAGTTCCATTAGTCCAGTATCCTATATGTATTTCGTTACTCTCATCTCATATATAAAATGAAAAACTGTATGCCCTTAAATCAATAAAATATTGTGTAATCACTATCATCCAAGGATTATGAAAAAGCCAGTACCCCATTTGCCCCATTCCCTGAAGTAGTAAAACCGTGCCATTACTTCTTTGGGTGGGGTTTGAGGCCCCCTGCAGTATTGAGGGCCTGGGAGATCCAGTGCCACAGTCCATGCTGAGTCCTGGTGCCTGCCAGTGAGCTGGGCTTGAGGCTGTGCAGTGCTGGGAGTTGCTCTGCGCCCCGCTGAGCTGTTCCATGGGTCTCCATATTTTCAGTTGGTTGGTGATAGTGGTCATTCATTTAAAATGTTCTCTCAAAATGATTTTATTTCTATTTTGGTTAGCTGGGCAGGTTGTGAATCAGATGAACAAGAAGCTGCAGACAGGTTTTACCGAAGCAGAAGTGTTACAGATATTCTGTGATACCTGTGAAGCTGTCGCAAGATTGCATCAGTGTAAGACCCCAATAATACACCGAGACCTGAAGGTAGGAGTTCAAGACTGTTTTCACAGTTCAGATATTCTTGCCTTATTTTACTGAGTCAGTTTCCGTTGCCTGTGCTGAGATTGGTCTCTCTGATACATGTTGTTTCCTGGACTATCTAAAGACTGCAGCACTGAAACTCTGCTTGACTGATCTTGAAGTTTCCTAGGTTGGCTCTAGTGGGGGACTTTGTCTTCCCTACTCAGCTTCCATTTTGCTTAGTAGGTGACTTTAAAAAGTTTATTTCAAAGTGAATATCACTGACATAGGTCAAATGTCTTTTTGTACTATTTTTCCTAGTTTAGCATTTCTCCTGTTTTCTGTAAACCATTGTATAAACGTAAGATGATTTTCTTAATATTCTTTGTTATAACTGAGTCTCTTTGCTCATTTGTTTTGCAATATAACTAGTTTTTTATAATTTATAGCAATGTTGTGTTGGTTGTCTTGTAAGGTCACTTTTTGTCTCTTCTATGTAGTGTGCTACTATCCATACATTACTTTGGTAACAGTCCCCAAAGAGGATTGAATATTCATTATATGCCATCTTAAGATAACACCACACATATCACTTAGAACAATAGGTGTCCTCTTAGTGTTCAGAAACACTGAGAATAAAATTAAACATTAATTTTTCTGAAATGATTTGTGCATAGATGTCCCATGATTCATCTTTCACTCTTACTCTGTCTGCTTAGACCTACCTTCTCAGTGACTCATGTCTTGAGCTGCACATTTATAATTACAGCCAAACATTCCTGCTCTTTACCCACTATAACTTGTTTTAGCAGTTGTCACTTGCAAAGACGTTATTTAATTGGCTGATATAGGGCAGGGATTCTTTTGTAAAGATATATCAAAGAATTTAGAATAGCAGACTCAGTGTTAGAATTTGTATACAGACTTTATGAGTGATTATACAATGTTTTTAAGGCATAAAAGAATAAAAGGTGTTACTTAGACTATAAATCATTTGGGGAAACTTAGAAAGATAAAAGTTAAGATTGAATGATTATAGTCCTCTGTCCTTAATTTGGGTAATGAGCTAGTTTCTTGAATATCTAACTTTTGCATATTCCCCAATAATTTAGTATGACTTTTTGTGCTTTCATAGCACATTAACTTTTTCAGTAAAGCTAATGCTTTCAGCTGATCCTTTTTAAAAGTTAGAACCAGCAATGACACTGAACTTCCTAATTTTGTATAGATCATATTCATATTACTTTGCATGTATAAATGTAGGAAAGTTTTATTTTAAATTGATTACTTTTTCTAAAATTGTGTATAGTTTCCCCCACATACCCCCTTCTGTTGGGCAGGAGAGGTGGTGCTTGAGGGGCCCAGAGAACCCCACCATGATTCTCAGCCAACCAGTTTTACGATTCAGTGGAAGGGCCTGAAGTAGGATGCTGCTGGGGCCTTGAGGTGGGGTCCCCAAGGCTGTAACCTGGCAGCACTCGAGGCTTCCGAACTCCCTTTGTGCACACGTCTGGGAGGCACACCTCTGTATTGTCTCCTGACCGCAAAGGAAGGTTGAACGCTAGAAGGAAATTATAAAGCTAATGATTAGTTAGCAGTCTGAGGTGGAGATAAATTGAGTTGCTTATCTAAGATTTTAAAAAATAAGAAATTATACAGTGCTAATAGTAATACTATCTAAGTACTTACTATACTGCTTAAAGCACTTTGTATGTTTTAATTAATTGAATTTTTACTACAATCCCACTATAGGTATGGTCTTTCTCATTCTATAGATTAGGGAGCTAACACACAAGAGTGGTTAAGAAAATTGTTCTTCTGCCAGGAGTAATTCCTGAGTTCAAGCCAGGAATAACCCCTGAGCATCACCAAGTGTGACTCAAAAACAAAAAATGAACAAACAAAAAGAAAATTGCTCTAAGGTACACTTGCGAATAGCAGAGTTGGGCTGTGACCCGCACTCTCCTGGTTTGGAAATGACCATGATCTTAATATCAAAGTTATAGCATGCAGTAAACACACAAACGAACACGCTGTCCTCCTGTTGTTCATCGATTTTCTTGAGCGGGCCCAGTAACGTCTCCATTTTGAGACTTGTTACTGTGTTTGGCATCTTGAATACATCACAAGTAGCTTGCCAGGCTCTCCGAGAGAGGCAGAGGAACCAAACCCGGCTTGGCCGGGCTGGCTGCCTGCAAGGCAAACACCCTACTGCTGTGCTATCGCTCCATTTGCTTTTAAAAAGTATAACATTTTTGATAAAAACCACACTGGTAACGATATAGTAGATTTTTATAGTTTTTATAAGTAATACTTATGTTTTACAAGTAATGCTTGTCTTATAGATAAGCCACAATATCCGTGAAGGAGAAAAAGAAATGGACGTGTTGTATAAATTTTCACTGCCATTAGTTCTTTTCTTTCATAGAGACAGTGTTTATAGAGAGGATTTCATGGATTTCCTTTTCTAACCCAGGAAAAGATCATTATAGTATGGGAGAATCACTTCTCTGCTTTTTTTTTTTAATAAGAGAAGCAGAAATAATAAAAATTTATTTTGGTTTAATTCATTTGTTTCCTCATCACTTAAGGTATCTTCTCTCTTCCTCTCCCACTGCTTCTCTCACTCCATCACAAACCCTTCAGTATTCAGTGAAATTTAAAAGAAGTTTCACTTTAAAAATACTAACTGTAAATCTTTTTGTCTTAAGGTAGAAAATATTTTGTTGAATGATGGCGGAAACTATGTACTTTGTGACTTTGGCAGTGCCACTAATAAATTTCTTAACCCTCAAAAAGATGGAGTAAATATAGTAGAAGAAGAAATTAAGAAGTAAGTTCATATCCTTACTGTTTTATTTTATGGGAACTTTTAAAACTTGAATTTGTGACAAGGCTCTTGTGAAAATTCTACATATTCTACTTTGTAGATTTCTTTAAAATGTACCTATGCCATGAGAATAATATCTGATCAGGTTCAATAGAAACTATTTTATTAGAGACTTTCTTACCTTGTAGTAATCAAATTTATCAAAAATTTAATAAGCTTTAGTAGAATGGTTGGTGGGAGTTTTAAGTGATTATTAGATTCAGCTTAACAGATTTCTTTTATGTGGTGCTAATATTTGAAAAATCACTGGCTGTCGATATAGTTTAATGGACTAGAGTGCGTGTTTCACATCTAGGAGCTGTGAGTTTGACTCTGCCCTGCCACATAGATCCCTGAGTACTAACCCAGGCAGAGATCCTGAGTCTGATGAGTATGGCTCCGAAATAAACTTAATTTTAAAGATGAATTTATTATAAAAATAATTTAATTTTGTGTCTTGAAAACTGGAAACATGTATTAAAAACTGGAAAATAATACTACTTTTCAATAGTGTTTTGGAAAATTGGAAGAAATTTCTCATACTACTTTTTTTTCTTGTGCTTTTCATGGTTGCTAATCAGTAAGCATTCTTTGACTTTTCTGTGATATAAATTTAGAAAAGTGACCTCTTTAAAATAGTATATTACATTAGTGATATGAAGTATAATCTTTCAGAATAAGAATTTTAAATCAGTCTTTTTCTAAATTGCTTTATTTTGCTTCTTCACATATTCCCAGGTATTTTAAGGGTTGTCATTGGAACTGTGATTTATATTTCGAATTAGCCCAAGTAGAGCTGGTATTCTTCTGACCTATTTGTATAACACTAGGGATTTCTAGACTTTTATTCAGGAAGTTTAGTTTATGATGATTATTCTAGATTCATAAAAACAAGCTGCTTGATAATTAGTAAATGTCCTTCAGAACACAAGAATAATTATTTAATTGGCTTCTTACGGATGTATATACATATACATATCAGAAATCACATTTAAGAAATCACTGGATTATGATACATAATGATTGCTCTTTGGATTCTGCTCAGGCATCTCTGACTTGCTAGAGGTTTCATTTGCTGTTGAACTATGAAGTTTAATTACGATTTAGTAGAATTTTGCATTAATGTTAAAACTAAGCTCTTGAGTTATTCTTACATTTTCTTACATTTTGTGGCTCAGTTGAGGAGTTAATGATCTGTTTATTCAAGCAGTGGATATTCAATGTCTGATATGTAGTGAATAGTAATCATGGTATAGCCATAAAGCAGTGGGGAAGGAAAAAGTCTTGACCTCATGTAGTTTATAATCTGGTTTTTAGGTTGCTCCTGTGTCATTCAAGGTATCTTGCCAGTCTGGGTATTTGGAAAAAGTAAAATGGTATAAAGTTGAGCTTTATGATATTTCATATAGAAGAAAGCCTATGAAAACATTCAAAATGAGTTTCAGATTTCGCCATGAAATAGGATATATTTACATATTCTGATAATCTGTCTTGAAATTGATTAAAAGTTCATTAAAATTTATAATGGATGTTGGATTTTTACATTGACAAATACTTATTCATAGTATCTTTCCCCCCTGCCCCCCTTGATTTTGTTTTGTTTTGGGACTGCACCTGTGTGTGGATTCTTAGGGCTTACTCCTGGCCCTTCACTCAGTGGTTACTCCTGAGTGACCACTTAGGAAACCATATGGGATACTGGGGATCAAACTGGAGTCTGCTTCATGCAGCACTCTTTCTCCGGCCCCATCATTCACAGTATTTTAATTACAAATAGATGGTGTGAAAGTCTATACTATGAGTGCCGTTAACTTAATTGGAATTATGGCAACCACAGTATTTAGAAAATAAATTATAAAATAAATTCTAAACGATGCTGCAATTTATAAAACTTTAAAATAAGCTTATCAATATATTGAGAGGGCTGGAGCGATAGCACAGCGGTAGGGCGTTCGCCTTACAAGCGGCCAACATGGCCGACCCGAGTTCGATTCCTCCGCCCCTCTCGGAGAGCCCGGCAAGCTACGAGAGTATTCGATATGCCAGACACAGTAACAACAAAGTCTCCAATGGAGACGTTACTGGGCCCGCTCGAGCAAATCGACGATCAACGGGAGGGCCTTTACCTTTACCTTTACCTTAGGAGATAAACAATTTAATTAAAATATTCTGGTAAGGATAGTTTTCTAATCAAATTGTATTGATTTACAAGAGAAATTTAAGGAAAACTTTTGAATATAATGTATTTCGCATTTAATGATTTTTTTAAAATCACTAGAGATGTTACTTGTTGAATAAAATATATTATTTTGTATTGTTTAATCCTTGATCAACCTTTAATAGTATTATTTCTGTGTAATCTTCTAAATGTTATAAAGGTATATCGTAATATTTCATGTAGAAGCAAGCAATGTAATGTCTTTGTATTATTTTTAATTTTTTAATTTATTTTCAATTATTTACTGCCAGATATACAACTCTGTCATACAGAGCTCCTGAAATGATCAACCTTTATGGAGGGAAATGCATCACCACTAAGGCAGATATCTGGGTAAGGCAACAAAAAGTTGATATTTTCTCTAATGGGAGGGATATTGGGGACATTGAAAATGTGCACTGATAGAGGGGTGGGTGTTGGAACATTGTATGACTGAAACCTGATCATGAAAGTTTTGTAAGTGTATCTCACAGGGATTCAATTAAAAATATTTTTTAAAAAAGTACAGTTATTTGTCCCCAGAGTATTTATTAATAAGTAGAAGAGAATGGTATAGAGTAGAGCCTCTTAGTGGAATAAAAATACTAGCACATTTTATCCTCTTAATTCTGGAATGGAAATCTTAGGTATTAATTCAAGAATATCCAGAAAATAAATTTAATTCATATTGCCAAGAACTTTATTTTCAGGGTCAGAGAAAAAGTACAGGGAATAAGGTCCTTGCCTTGCTTGAGACTGACCTTGATTTGATCCCTGGCACAGTGTAAGGTCTCCTGAACATTCCCAGGAATGATCCCTGAGCACTGCTGGTTACGGCACAAAATCAGTATAATTTTTTTCCAATTTTGTCTGTTTTAAGAAGTATTAAGAGTTATCACATTGAGATTAAAATATTCATTTTGAACTTTATATTTTGGCAATAATCTTTCTGGCTTGGAAGTTTTTATTATAGATTATTTTTATCCTGAGATCTGGTAAAAGGTAAAGGTAAAGGCCCTCCCGTTGATCGTCGATTTGCTCGAGCGGGCCCAGTAACGTCTCCATTGGAGACTTTGTTGTTACTGTGTTTGGCATATCAAATACTCTCGGTAGCTTGCCAGGCTCTCCAAGAGGGGCGGAGGAATCGAACTCGGGTCAGCCATGTTGGCCGCTTGTAAGGCAAACGCCCTATGCTAATTTTATTACAGATTAGGAAATTCAGTACGATACGTTTCATGTAACTTTTTAATGAGGAAAACTGAAGATGGTGATATTCCTCATTTAAAATCAGGTCATTGGTTCCCTCCTGTTTTTTAAACAATTCTCATTGTTCAAAATGAGAAGGAAATAGCTTGTTAAAGAAATTGAGACATCTTATTATGTTTACACTGTGAATTAGCATAATTATTTTATTTTATTATTTTTTTGCTTTTTGGGTCGCACCTGGTGATGCACAGGGGTTACTTCTGGCTCTGCACTCAGGAATGACTGCTGGCAGTGCTCAGGGGACCCTATGGGATTCTGGGAATCGAACCCAGGTTGGCCTCGTGCAAGGCAAATGCCCTGTCCACTGTACTATTGCTCCAGCCCCTAAAATTAATTTTTTAAAGTCTATTTTAAAAATATATATGCTATCTAAAATAAGTTATTTGGGATGTCTAAAATATTTTGTTTAGGGGCCTGAGAAATACTACAACAGGTAGGGCACTTTCCTTGCCTGGCCAACCTGGGTTCATTCACCAGTACTGCATATAAATCCTGTACTCCGAACTCAGTTGGAAGTTGCCCCAAACCCACAAATTAATATTCCATACATTAATATACTAATTATATTAATTTACATTAATTGCTGTATTAATATATTAAATACGTTTTTATTTTTTAATTTTTAATTTTATTATTATTTTAATTTTTATCAGTGAAACACCATGAGGTACAGTTGTAGACTTACAAATTTTTGTGCTTGGGTTTCAGTTATACAAAGATCGAGTACCCATCCCTCCACCAGTGCCCATTCTCCACCACCACTGATCCCAGTATCCCTCCCATTCCCCAAGCCCCCATCCCACCCTGCCTCTGTGTCAGGGCATTCCCTTTTGTTCTCTCTCTCCTTTTGGGTGCTGTGGTTTGTAAAAGAGGCATTGAGTGGCAATCATGCTCTGTCTATAGTCATTCATTTTATGTATAAGCACATTTTATGTATTCATTCATTCATTCATTCATGTATTCATTCATTCATACATTTATGTATAAGCACATTTTATATATTCATTTTATGTATAAGCAGTAATTTGTAATAAAGATTGAACCAGTATAGAAATACTAAGCAGGTTTTTTTTTTGTGTGTGTGTAAAACATACTTAGTTTTCTTTCGGTTTTGGTTATTTTTGTTTCCTGTGGTTATGTTATTTACTTGAGCTCTCATAGTCATTCTTTTTTGTTTTACAGGCACTGGGATGCTTGCTATACAAACTTTGTTTCTTCACTCTTCCTTTCGGTGAGAGTCAGGTTGCTATATGTGACGGCAGCTTTACCATCCCAAACAATTCTCGTTACTCCCATAACATGCACTGTTTAATAAGTAAGTACTTGAAAAAATTTATGGAAAGATCATGTAATACTGCTTTTAGGTGCTACTATTATATACCTCTCTACCTAAATTAAAGTAATAAAGATTAAAGGAATTAATTTTATGAAACTACAGTAAAGAAAATATTGAAAATAATGTACATGTAAAGACTTATGTGAATAATGTTCAAGAAGAGAGTGATTACTGTTTAATATGCAGGTACTTTTAAGTCCTCTAGGTAAGCAGTTGCAGTAAAAAACGTAATCCAAGTTACCTTCACAGGTAATAGTACAGATTTTATCAGTATCATTGCTGTGGTGGGCGTAGTTGATGGACTTGTCCAAACTCTAATTTTCCTATAAGCCCAGCTATTTTTTTGTCTTTGATTTTGCATAATGTGCTTTTTTCCTTTTCAAAAGAGGGAACATATTTTTGGTATATTTGAATAAACATTAGCTCTTTAATCCATTCCTTCTTATTGCAGTTGCTTGCCATTTCCTTTTTCCAAAAATCAGGTAATCACAGTCAAGAAAGAACTATTAATTGTGGTGCTTAACGAACAGACTGAGAAATTTACTTTGCTCTTGTTTGTTCTGGCTAACTGAATTTTAACTTATATAGAAGACTTTAATTGTCAATCATTGTAACGGCGACACTATTTTCTTGCTTAAGAATAATGTTTTAATTGAATTGAGGATTTTATTGGAATTCTTGTGTTATCTTAGAGACAGAATGGTCTCACTGGACAGAACTGTACAGGAGACAGGGCTGCATACACCCTGATTTACAGTTTAATTTACATGTTGTAGGATCTTATCTTTTTGTGTTGGGTTAATATATTTTTTTCTTTTCTGTGTGTATGTTTGTATGTGTTTATGTAACAAGAAAGTGGGAAAACTAAATGCATGATACTTTTAGTATCTAATTGGCCTCAGGTTAATCGATTTTTTTTTTCTTTTTTTATTAGTGAAAAACCATGAGGCACAGTTATAGGCCCACAAATTTTGGTTAATCGATTTTTAACTGTATGATTTATTTTGTCAAATGTATAGGTTTTAGTTTTTATTAATATTAGTATAAACTTGATTATTTTAAGTTGCTTTGAACTTAGGAGAGCTAGGTGGGAATTAAAAGAGTTTATGGATTTTACAAATGCAGTTTTAAGTAAAATAACAAAATAGAGATTTAAAAAATATGTCTACAATGTAATGTTTTCTAGAAAGTGTTCATTGAACAACTATATTTGGAAAGAATATTTTATTTTATTCTTTGCATTTTTCATTTTGTCTATTCTTAGCATTCTTTATTTGTATCTATTTTAATAATGTTGTATCTCTGTTTTAATAATATGTAATTAGTGATTTGTATTGCTTTCAATTCTGCTTTCAGAAAATTAAGATGAATATCAGTGCTTAGTTTTTGAAAGTGCAGCCTCTTATTGCCTTTTATTTATTCACTGTAGGTTCTCTCACATAATTTAAGGTAGACCTTGAAAAAAGATACATCCTTTTAGTATTAATAGCTTACTGATGCATTTATTATATATGACTTAAGGGTTTAGAAAATTAAGTAGTCATACTAAATCCTTAAAACCATGATTTATTTTAATATGAGTAGTTGACTATAGATTATTACTAAATTAAGGGTTTCTTATTATTTTAGCCTATTAGCTATACAGTTTAGTATATTAATTTTTTTGTTTGTTTTCTTGCCACACATTTTTTTCTTAAAAGTAGCCAGGTGTCACTTATTTAGTATTTTCTCTCTTAGCATCTATTTAGTTTTCCAGTAGATAAATACTTAGGATGTGAGGAGAAAAGCAGTTTCCATTTATGAATTTAAGAGTTGAAAAGAATTTAGAAAACATTTGAGAAGAAGGAGAACCATAACTAATAGGATTACTGAATAGTTATGACCAGTGAACAGAAGGCTGACAGCCCTGGCTTTTTTTCAGCCTCTGTGTTGTAAGATGGTTAAGCAAATTCATTGTGAGGATTAAGGTCAGGGTCTCTGGAGCCGAAAGGCCAGACTTGCATCTGATTTGTCACTTAGTACAGAATATTGGGTACCTCCATTTATCTCACTGACATTTTTGAAATGAACAAACTAAAAATATGATTAACCATTTAAGATTATTATGAAAAGAATTATGGAAAGGCTTTTTATAGCCTTGTAAATAATTGCTCAGAGGAGTTACATTACAATGTATCTGCCAACTAGTGATAACAACTGCAACTACTAGTGATACAATTAGTGTAATTCTTCATTAGCTAGCTTATTTGGGTTTCTGGGTAGTGGGCAGGGCATCTGCTGTCACATGCTTACTAGAATATACTTTCCTGCCTAAATTTCTTTAGGCGCTCTGAAGCAGAATTTGATTTTGCAGATTATTAAATGATGAGTCTACCAAAGCTTAGTATAAATCATCTATTTCAAGATGGACTTTGTTTTTGTTTTGGGGTCACACCTGACTGTGCTCAGGGGTTATTTCTGGTTCTGCACTCATGTAGCATTCCTGGTGGGTTTGGGGGACTATATGGAATGCCAGGGAGTGGACCAGGTTGGCAGTATGCAAGGCAAACGCCTTGCCTTACCTTCTGCATTATCTTTCCAGCCCTGTAGGATACACTTATATAACTATTTAGATTGTTTTTAAAGAATGAGAAGATTTTGGGTTTGCTTACATACTGTTGGGGGAAATATTTAGAGAAGACCGAAAAGTTCTTAGAGCAGCTGATAATACTATCTCAATTATGCTTATTTTAGCATTTTTGGGTGCCATTTGGTGGATTGATTCCACTTATAATTATTATCTTTGGTTTAATTTCTATACCTGTTAGGAATGGTCAGTGTTAAGATGGCGTATAGAGGAGGTATATGTGTAAGTTTCAGTAATAATTTCCATGGATTACAATTTCTAAAATGTCAGTATTTGAAACTTTATGGTTGTAGAATTAGTGTTTCTTTTTTAGATAAATTACTATAAGTGAAAATAGCTGAAAAATTTTGGAAGGAAGAAAAATATATTTTGATGGAAGAAGAAAAAAAAATCAACACGGTTTAGCAGGAGAATTCTTTTGAAATCTTTATCCGAAATATTTTCCTGTTCAATTTGTTGAGCATCTTAGAGATGCTGACTTAATTTTTATATTGACCCATAGAAGGATTGTTTTGTGTGGCTTGAGTGGGAGCTAACGTTAGGGTTTTACTTGAGTCTTGGATTAAATAATAATTTGACTTGACTTTAGCTGTTATGTCCTGAGCGCCGTCTGTGATCACTCCTGACTCTGACCCACCCGTCCCGTTTTGCGCTCTCAGCCATCTTTAGGAAGACTCAAAGGAAATTTACTTCTTGCTTTTAGTGTCAGGAAAAGTGCTTATTTTCAGCATCTGGTTTGGTTTAATGAATTTTGTGACTATTTTGATACATAATTTCTTTACTGATATCATTATCATTTCCCCCCACCCTGTAGGTGGTGGCTCCCTAGTCCTGCTTTTCTCAGATTTAAAAAATTCTTGTAGTTTTAAAACTTTAATAGTTAACTATAAAGTTTTTGTCACTTTGTACCCTTTATGGAATGCATATGATTATCTAATGGTACAAATCTAAAAGTCAAATTTGCTATAATGAATAAAAATAAAATAGTACATTTGTGGTTTGGATAGCTTTCTCTAGATTTGTTTGTTTTTAGGGGCACGGCCAGTGGGGTGTTTACCTTACAAGCAGCTGACACAGATTTTATCCTTGGCATCCCTTACGGTTCCCTGAGAAACACCAGAAGTGATTGAGCATTGCTCGATGTGGCTCAAAAATAAAATATTTGGTTTTTAAAATGATATGAATATATATTTAATATATCTATTTCATATACTGTTTTTACTTTCAAATCATTTACTATCTACTGGTGGGCTGGAGTGATAGCACAGCGGGTATGGCCTGGCAAGCTACCGAGAGTATTGCACCCGCATGGCAAAGCCTGGCAAGCTAACTGTGACGTATTTGATATGCCAAAAACAGTAACAAGTCTCACAATGGAGACATTACTGGTGCCCGCTCGAGGAAATCGATGAACAACAGGACAGTGCTACAGTGCAGTGCTATCTATTGGTATCATAGAAGGATTTTGTAAATTCCTTATTTTCTAGAATATAAGCTAAAAAATAGAATTGTTTTTATTTTTAACCTAACAATGTTGATGAAACATTGCAAGATCAGTTTTGTGATTTGTTTGCCTTTTTTTTTTCTAAACTGGTTTTGGAATCTGCAATTTCACTGAAACATTTGTGTTAATGTCACTTGAGCAACTGTTTTTATCAAACATATATTGTTAGAGAGGTATTACACACTGTTCAAATCTTAAATTTGAAAGAAAAATTTAATTCATTACAATTAAAAATTATGATGAATAAATATGAATAAACTTATATATTTTGTCCTCTAATTTTATTAGCAAACTTCAGAATGTCTAATGATATACATTTTATATAGGTTTAAGAATTAGTTGAATAAGAGTTAATGAATCATTTAAAATTATATCTTAATATGAATACAGATTTCAGTCTAATTATAAACCTTGAAAACTTTCAATCCACATTATCAAGAAATACAGATAAGAGACTGTGGTCATTTTAATTAGAAAAAAGATTAGATGTTTCAAGTAATGCTATTAATGTTTGCATAAAGTCTTTTCATAATGTCACCATAGAACTCGGCTCATATTTCTGAACATGACCTGGATAGCATGTTGAAATACAGAATTATGTTGTGTGTACTTAGTATCAGTCTGGTAGGAAAGCTTAGTGTTGGAAAGTGATAAGGCCAACACTGGCCTAGTTTGTTGAATAGATCATAATGTACATAATTTTTAAAAAATCATTGATGTGAAATCATTTAAGAATTGGTGAATATATTTTAGATAATAGTGAAAATAACGGTCCCTAATATGCTCCATACAACTTTCTTAAATATTCTTTAGTGATTATTAAACTGATTTTTTTGTTTATGCCACTTTCTCAGAAGATTGTATTTGTCATCAATATTTCTAGGATGAAGTATTTTAAAATTAATATTCTCTACCTTAAGATTATACTTTTGTTCTTATATAATATATACTTATATTTTATATAAGCACTAATAAAATAAAATTTTGTTAGAATCATCACTGTTCTTCGAGTGATGGGGAAAAAAGGTATTGTCTTTTAAAAGTTCTCTTAAGTAGCTTGTACTAGTGAAACTTAATATTTTGAATTGTTCCGTAGGGTTTATGCTAGAGCCAGATCCAGAGCAAAGACCTGATATATTTCAAGTGTCCTATTTTGCATTTAAGTTTGCCAAAAAGGATTGTCCAATATCCAACATAAATGTAAGTAGTTTTTCAGGTGACATATAAATTTTTAACCTATTTCATTGTGTGAGAGAGAGTGTGTGTGTGTGTGTGTGTGTGTGTGTGTGTGTGTGTATCTGTGTGTTTATATATCTATGTATGTGTGTATGTGTTTATGTATCTGTGTGTGTCTGTGTGTTTATCTGTGTATGTTTGTGTATGTGTGTGTGTGTGTGTACTTATTCACACACACATATTCTCTTTTGTGTTCTTGTTTGTAATGAGTGTTTTTGATATGTAGCCACAGTTAGCTGGGTCCTCCCACTCTGCAGGGCTGGAGTGATAGTGCAGCAGGGAGGGTTGATTACTAGCATCCTGTTTGGGCCCCAAGCGCTGCCAGGAGTGATTCCTTTGCATAGAGACAGGAATAACCCCTGAGCATTGCTGGTAGTGGCCCACCGCCCTCCCTCCTCTGCCCTGCTCCTTCAAAAAAAAGCACCACACAAAAGTAAATACACAGTTGCCAAACTTTTCTGGGGAAACTGTGCTCATGGGCACTCTGGGATGTTTTGCATTTTTATTTTATTTTCAATTTTTATTGAGTCACTGTGAGTTACGAAGTTATTCACGATTGCATTTCAGCCATACCATGTTCCAACACCAGTCGTCTTCAACCAGAGTCACTTACCCTCCACCAGAGTACTCAGTTTTCCCTTCACCACCACATCCCCTTTCTGCCTCGGTGTTTTATGTTTTAGTGGGAAACACAGGAACATTTCCTAGGGTTATTGAATTGCTTACCACAAACTGCTGTTAATAAATTGTTTGGGCTCAGTTACTAAAAAATGATGCATAGATTTTGGAGGAAAAGAAATACCTAAGGTTGTCATAATAAATTGAGACCAGGTACTCTGTAATCCAAGACCATTTTAGTTGCCTTTGATGTAAAGAGCCACAGGTGTAGGTTTAATTCTGTCATAAAGCATTATTAACTTTGTGCATTATAGGAATTAATATATCTTTCTTTAAAACAATGACACTAATTCTGAAGATTATTAATAGAAAACCACGTTTCTAATGTTCTTGAAAGGTACTGGTTTGGAAATAACTTATATTGTTCTAAGATTACTTACATTGTTCAAAGATTTTGAATTCTCTTTAGTGTTTACGAAAGTATTCTTAATTAACTATGAGGTGAATTATGTAGGGTAGATCTCTGCTAATTTTATAGAGGCTTAGAATCATCACTGATTTTAAGTTTTTTTTTAGCTTTGTACAGGTCATTCTGGCCTGACTTGTTACAGGTTTTCCATTGTGAATAACTTACTCCACCTCACTAAGAAAAAAGGAAAATTGGAACCTTTTTTTTTTTGCCTTTCAAAGCTCTTTCTTGTAATCAGTGTGATATATTCTTATTACAGCTGAAAGTCATGCTGTTCTAACATTCTGCGAAAAGTCTTATTTGACATGTGACCAGATCTTTTGCTCTTCATTCAGCAAGAACTTGTAGAGTACTCTAAGCCAAACATAATGTGTATCATAAAAGTTAGTCGGGCCTTCTTCTATTGTTTACTATATTTACAAGCCGTATCAACTGTCTGTTTAATGTAGAAACAACTTTCACTCATATGCTTGATGTTTACTGCTTCTTCCAAAGAGCGAACGTCATTATTTTATAAATGGAAAGTTTCTTTATCCTGTTTATTTCCAAGGATTTTTTATACAACAGAATTTGAAAGTCACATTGGTGTAATATGTGTCATTTGCAGATTTAATCTTGCAAAAATATGTACACAGTTTGTAGGTATCTGAGATGAAATTAGTGGTATCTCACTGGTACTTTTAGGTGTAACACTTAATAAATAAAACTCTGCAGTTAAAAGGAAACTAAAATGAAATGTTTCACATTTTTCTTCCAAGAATTCTTCTATACCTTCAACTCTTCCTGAACCCATGACTGCCAGTGAAGCAGCTGCTAGGAAAAACCAAATAAAAACCAGGTAGGTTAGACTGTATTGATATTTAAGCTGCATTTCACAAATGTTTAAAAATCTGTCATTTAAAAGTTAGCGCTGATGTGATTAATTTCCTATCACCTTCATGCACAAGAAATGTGTTGCTTATTATATATGTTGTAGAGTCTAAGGTAAAAGGTAAAGGCCCTCCCGTTGTTCATTGATTTGCTCGAGCAGGCCCAGTAACGTCTCCATTGGAGACTTTGTTGTTACTGTGTTTGGCATATCGAATACGTCACGGGGAGCTTGCCAGGCTCTGCTGTGTGGGCGAGATACTCTCAGTAGCTTGCCGGGCTCTCCGAGAGGGACGGAGGAATCGAACTCGGGTCGGCCATGTTGGCTGCATGCAAGGCAAACGCCCTACCGCTGTGCTATCGCTCCAGCCCAATATGTAGAGTCTAGCAAGTACAAAGTATGTCTTTGTGTATTAGATATATAATACCTTATATATAAGGTTACGTATATATATGGAATAAACCTTATATAAGGCTGAGAATTTAGCGTTACTGTCTCTTGAACTCGACTCAGCAATTAAGACGTGATTAGATAACTGGTGATTAGATAATGGAATTAGATATTCCCTCATTCGACAACTCTTAATTTATGAAAGTATTTTTGTTTTGTGGTGTTTTTAATTTAAGGAAGGGAAAGTAGCTCTTAGAGGCAACTAGTCTTAGAATAATCTAAAATCATAACCTAGCGTGTATTTTAATATGTATTTAGACTTATAATATCTTGTAGAATTTATAGTCAAAATTTAAATGATTGGGCATGAAATAGAGTTTGGGGACTGGAGAAGTAAGACACTTATCTTGTCTGTGGCCACACTGGCTGCTATCCTGGTTTAGTTCCTAAAGAAATCTGGGATGTGTACACAACCCCACCTCCCACCAGGCCCCTAAGCCCAAAAAGGGGAAAGAACAAGGGCTGGGAAGGTAATCATTGGTCAGGGCACAGGGCCTTGTGTGTGCTGGGAGCCATGTGGGGAGGCCAGCACTGCCTAGTCCTTTGAGAAACGCCAGGTGAGACCTCGTAGGCACCAGGGTACCACTGCCACCCTGAGAAGCTTCACACTTGCAGGCGAGTATTGAGCTGCCCATTCAAGTTGGCACCACCAAAGATTTAAAACACAGTACATGCCAGGCACTAGCACGCAAGTGAAACAATGCAGTTGAACAATAGTGCTATTCATATTGTGTTCAATCTTGACATTATTTCTTTTGAAAGAATACTAATGTTCATTGATGCTTGTTGGTCAGTAATATAGAGTTACTCTGTTGATATTACTAAGCAAAGTACTTAAATGTAATTGTATAAAACTCAATATTAAAAAATGAAAAATTTTAAGTGAAATTTTAAAATACTTTCATCTAAAAGGTATAGAAAGGGGCTGGTATGGAGAAATCTTCAAATACCCAGAATCATCATTTCCATGTTTTCAGACCTTGACATAATCTACTTGTCCTCCCTTCAGTTTGTGGAGCTCTGTGGTTTTTTTCCCTGTTTTTTGTTTAGCACAGCAGTAGGGCGTTCGCCTTACAAGCGGCCAACATGGCCGACCCGAGTTCGATTCCTCCGCCCCTCTTGGAGAGCCCGGCAAGCTACCGAGAGTATTCGATATGCCAGACACAGTAACAACAAAGTCTCCAATGGAGACGTTACTGGGCCTGCTCGAGCAAATCGACGATGAACCGGAGGGCCTTTACCTTTCTTTACCTTTTACCTTTTGTTTTTTCTCTTTTCTCTTTCTCTCTTTTTTTTTTTTTGACTTACACCTGGCGGTGCTCGGGACTTACTTCTGATACTGCATTTAGTGGTCACTCCTGGCAGACTTGGGGACCATATATGGTGTCAGGGCTCAAACATAGGTCAACTGTGTACAAGGCAAGTCCCCTACCTCCTGTACTATCTGCTCAGCCTGACACCTCTATGTTTTGCATCACAAAAACTGCCTTCCAGCTCTCCCAAATCTGCTTCTGCTCTCGGGACTATTAACGTAGTGAGATTTGTGTTTCATAGCTTAACGTTGGGAAGGAAGCACTGAAGGATTTTCAGGGAAGAGTGTGTGTTTCCGAACGCTAGACAGCCGATAGTGAGAAGTGGAGGGGAAGTAGGTTGGCTGTGCTGCTCGGCTGTGCAGCAGATTCCTCAGCTTTCCATTTGAGCACGTTGGTTTGCCCAGTCTTCGTTTCCTCACACAAGTACTTAGTTTCTTTTTTGCTGTCTGAGACCATTTCTACTGCTTTCCCTCCAGTTCCTGCCTGAATCCTTCTCTAGCCAACTTAGGTTAAGAGTAGAATTGTCCTTCTCTGAAACTCTTGAAAATAGTCAGGCAGTGATCATTTTTGCTGTCTTACAGTTTCATAAACACGTGTCACATCCTTTGGATGTACTTTATGTCCTGCAAAGACGACGTTGTGCATTATTTCTCGGGTATCAGTGATTGTACAGTAGATATGGCACAGTGATTAAATTAGGAAACATTAGCCTACAGTCTGTACAACTTGTAATTTGCATGCACTTTGTATTCATCTTGAATCTCTGTAGAACCATTTATAACAGAACAAAATGGGTGAGGTCTGTCCAGCACTGCTCACTAAAGAATGAATAGACAAGCACCAAGATTCTGTGTATTTCTTCCAGATCAATTGAAGTTAGTTAATACGGCATTGGTTTTAGAGCCGTATGCAAAATTTGAATTCAGCAAATAAGTTAATTATCATTAAAATGAGATCTAATTATGTATACACATTATCTCATTTGTTGCTTTTCAGTTAGTTTTCATATAACATATAATATCCCTTCCATCTGAAACACAAATGCTTTGCAGTGCTCTGGTCTTATTCCTGAGCTCTGCACTGAGGGATCGTTTCTGGCAGGACTCGGGACCATCTTGGGTGCAGGGGGTCAAATTTAGGTCAGCCATGTGCAAACCAAGTGCCCTACATGCTATGCTATCACTCTGGTCCCTACACATTTCTATTTTTAAAGACTATTTCTACATTCTTAAAAATAATTTTCATGTATTTTGCTTTCTTTCCTTGAAGATAGTTGTTAACGGGGCTCCCTCTTGTGTTGAATGCTGCTAAAGGAAACTGCAGTTACAGTGGCTAGTCATGAATCCAAAATGTTGCACGTGTGTACTTGAGAAACCATAGGTCAGAATTTTAAGTCTTACAATCACTTTCTGAGAGAACTGATACATTTTATTCTAATCCAGATGAGACTTTGACATAGGACTCATTTTTAAAAGTATTTTTAATGCAATATAGTTTTTAATTGAAAGATATTTAGAGAGAGAGATGAGGCAGAGAAAGAGAACAATGCATGTTTAAGAAAGAACAGCTTCTCCCAAATGGAAAAAGTCAAGTATTTGAGCTTTTGCTTGAAAGTGAAGTTGATAAATATTAAGTTAAAAATTCTCCCTGATTCTTTTTTGAAGGGAGCTTAAGGGTGGGGGCAGGGGAGTTAGGCCACACCCAACGGTACTCAGGGGCTGTTCTTGACTCTACTCAGAAGTGACCAGTCCAGCTCTCAGTGCACTGACTGAGCTGCGGTCAGCTGAGTGCAAGGCAGGCATTGTCTGACTTCCTGTACTATCTCTGGCCATGTCCCTGGCTTAAAAAAAATAAAATGAAGTGGGGGACAAAATCCTTGTCTCTCCTCAAATTATGCTTATGTTCTTTCTTTTAAAACTGTATTACTTTACCATATCTGTGTCTAAACTAAGCCCTGCTGGCTAAAGTTTTGTTAAATTTCTGCTTAGTTTTCTAATTAAAGCAAAGGCAAAGGTTCAAGTATTTGGAGTAAGCACCTAGCTTCGTTTGTTAAAGAGTTTTGGCTTCTTTTACATACACTGGGGCTCAGTCTTTATTAGTTCTAGAGTCTAAGCTAAGGGAAAATGTTTTCACCTGTTTCTAATTTTATTTTTCTGTTTACCTTTATTCCCTCTCTTAAGGAATTTCATGTTTCTCTTTTGGGGGCTAACTATTGGCAAGCTAGAGTGATAATACCTTGGATTAAGGAAAGTGTGTTATTTGTTTTCCTATTTGCAGTAGACATTTAATGCTTGACATTGAAAGGCTTAGAAGTGAAGAGGACTTATGATTATCAATAATTATTAAAATTCTTTTGTTGAAATGTGCTTAACAGAAAAAATAGTAAAGTAGTCCATTATGGTATTTGGAGTGAACTGTATTCTTCTGTTGTAGAATAACAGATACCATTGGACCAACAGAGACCTCAATTGCACCAAGACAAAGACCAAAGGCCAACTCTAATCCTTCTGCCCCCAGCGTGCTGACCATCCAGAATTCAGCAACGCCTGTTAAAGTCCCTGTTCCTGGTGAATTTGATAACCACAGACCAAAAGGTAAAATAGCTGTCATCATTAAATTAAACATCTTTATTGCTTGATTTCTTTGGAGTGTAAGTTACTAACTTGGTTGATATTGTGAGGTTGATAACATACACTTCAAAAAACATTCTGCTTACATTAATAAGTCAACTAACTTTTTCTAAAGTTGTAGTCAAAGGTTACTTGCAATATAAAAAATAAATTCTTCCCTAATGTTATTGACTATTAGAGTTTCAAGTTTATTTAAAAAAAATAAAGTGAAAAGTTTAGAAGGTTCTGCATTATTAAGGAAGAACTGTGTCATTGCACTCAGTCTAGAACGCTGATAAAGTGGTATGTCATGGGCATGACAGCATATTCTTAACTAACTTGAGAAAAATTGTTTTTCTAATATAAAAAAATAAGCATTAGGGTTCAATACTTAGAATTTAGAATAAAAGTGTTTTCTGATCTGAAGCTTTACTTCAAGAAAACAGTGTTTTGTTTTCATTTTATGATAGATCTGTTCTATTTTAATGTTAAGATGTTTTCAGTTAGGGTGGTATTTGTATTGATGATTAAGAGTTACACTTTAGTGGTGAAGAGTCTGCACTAGAGTCTTATGAAACTGGATTTAAGTCCTTAGTAATTTTTGTGATAAAAATACTAGTACCTATTTTATAGGATTTTTTACAGGACTAAATAATACTAAGATTTGTATTAGTGACAGTGCATGATATAGTTGAGAAAAATGTGACAGTGACAATGTACTTATGAAGGGAAGAATTTTGAAAGATGAAAGTTTTATGACATTTACTGGTTTGGTATTGTAGCTGGTAATTTTACCTTTTAAACAACTTACATAACAAATAACCCCTTTAGAATATATGCACACGAAAGTGCTCATGTTGTAAAATTAGAACTAAATTGCCATGGTTAAATGAGCTATTGGAATGTGAAACCTAGCCATTTTGCAGAAAGTCATGTGTAACACAAGATTTTGGAAACCTTTTTCAGGACCTCTGCGACCTGGAAATGGCCCTGAGTTTCTGTTGGGTCAGGGGCAGCCTCAGCAGCCTCCACAGCAACACAGAGTACTTCAGCAGCTACAGCAGGGAGACTGGAGATTACAGCAGCTACATTTACAGCCTCCTCATCCACACCAGCAGCACCCGCTACTTCAGGATGCGTATATACAGCAGGTAATTGGAGAAATATGTATTTTGGTACTATGATTTGCACCAGTCTTAGTATCAGTGTTTCAGGAATACAGGGTTGCTGTACCACATCACCAACAGAACATCAGTATCCCTCGCTACTGCTGTTAGATCCTCTGAACGGTCGGTCACCTCTTCCACTTAGCAAACCCAGTGCTGTTGGTAGATCTTTTATCAGTGGTCACTTTTATTCCTTGATATGTTTCTTTCTAGTATTGTTTCTGTATAACTCTAGCCCGTATGAGTGAGATCATTTAATATTTGTCTTTTTTTCCTTTACTCAACATGATTCCTTCTAGTTCCACCCTGTTGGAAGTGAATTGCAGGATTTCAATTTTTGCCCCTCATTTTTTTCTTTTTCTTTCTTTTTTTCCCCACACCATTCAGACTACACCCCCCTCTCACTTTTCCAAAGAGAAGAGTGATCATTAATGGCAAAAGGCAGTTGCACAAGCAACACCTGGAACCGGTTTCATGGTCCGGAGAGGATTTTCTGGCTGCTCTTTGTGCTTTTCTGTACATGATCAGAGGAACTTCTCAAGTAATGAACTTGAGAAATGGTCCCTGAAAATAAAGCCTTGATTTCATGTTTTCTTACATTCCTTCCAGCACTGGTTAACTCCAGATGTTTGTTTGTTTTGTTTGTTTGTTTTGATATGGGCCATTCTCATTGGTGTGAGTTGATATTTCATTGTCCATTTGATTTGCATTACCTTGATGGTGAGTGGTGATGAGCATCTTTTTGGGAGTATATCTGTGGCCATCTTTTGGCTGTGATATGTTTATGAGGAAGTGTTTCTTTTGGAATTTTTTGGAGGGGTTTGTTTTTTTGAGCTCTTTATAAATCTTGTATGTACCTTTGTTTTAATCCTTCGTTTTGGCAGCCTAGTTCAGCCCTGAGATTTTATCAGCCTAACCTTGCTTGTACTTCCTGACGCTGCTGTACTGGGGGCTCTTTCAAAATCAGGGACGAGGCCCATAATTGTTACTGTTTTTGGCATATCGAATATGCCATGGGTAGCCTGCCAGGCTCTGCCGTGCTTGTCTTGCCGGGCTCTCCAAGAGGGCCAGAGGCTTTTAGCGCGGCCTCTAATTGTCCTTACAGGTGCTCCCAGTCTACCGAATGCAAGCTTTTGGTTGACTGGCATGTTGTAACGATCTGCACACTGACAAACACGCACCCATCTGCATCTCTGGGCAGCACCTGTTAGTTCACTCTTCACTGGTTGGCACCATTGCCACCCCATGCCACGTATGCTGGCATTGGAAGCATCCATTGAGGACCTGATGTTGTAAGTGCAAAAGATCAAGTACAACATCATTGTACTGACTGAGACGAGAAGGCATTGATCAGTCACGCCGTTTTTGACACTGGAGAAGAACCGTTCCTTGGAACATGCGACAGTAGAGGCGTCGGTGCTGTCAGTGTCCTCATCAATACGAACTTGGCCGTGAGCATCGATTTGTTCGAATGCCTAACAACCTGAATTGGATGCTTACGTTTGAATAGGTGTGGTTCATTGCTGGCAGTTTCTGTCCTCATTGTCTGCGCACCAATATCCAACTATGACGAAGAAGAAATTGAGAAGTTCTCCATGGAGCTGGAGAAGTTCTATAAAAAAGACCACAACTTTTACAAGGTCATTGTTGGTGATTTTAATGCCAAGATAGGACCGAGAAGGCCACCTGAAGAACGCCACATTGGGACCCACGGCCTAGAATGGAAGGAACAGGGTGAGAGACTGTGAGAAATTGTCTGAGTTCATCATGTTGACCAAGACCATCTGTAACTCGCAGTTCCAGAAGGCTGAATCTAAACGTTGAACATGGGAGTCTCCCGGTTGACAGTTTCACAGTGAAATTGACCATATCATATTCAGTCAACAATGTTGCCTGACTGATGTCGCTGTTGTCCCAGAATTCCAAATAGGATCAGACCACTGCCTCCTTCATGTGAAATTCTACCTCATGGAGTGGGGAGAAAGGACTGCAAAATTTAAGAAGAAAACTTCCAGAAACGCCACCAACTGGGAGCTCTTTGGCACCATTGCGGCAATATGGGAAGATGTTGTCATTGACAACATCGATGAGGAATACAATCGACTGGTTCAGCACTTCCGTGTCTGTGCGAGGAACACCCAGTGTGAAAATGTCACAAAAAGATGACTGCCTTTGGAAACTCTCAAGCTCATTCGGCAACGTGATTTGGCGCGAGCCTCAGGCAACCACAAGCTAACTTCCAAGCTCACAAAGCTATGTAGAGAAGCGATAAAAGAAGACCTCAGAGAGAGAAGAGCAGCAGTGTTGGCTGATGCAGCAGAAGCCAGGAAAAGTATTCACAACGCCCTCCTGCCCTTCGCCAACTTTAAGACCAAGATGACTGTGCTCCGACATCCTGAGATCTATGACATCTCCTAGAAGGGCAATGGAGAAGGTTATTCATGACTTCTGCTCAGATCTCTTTGATTGCCACTCCACCTGCCCACATACCAAATTCCGCAGGATAGATACATCGTTCCCAACATTCTCCCTTCCGAAATATGACACACCATTTCGTCAGTGAAGAAGCGTACAGGACCTGGTCCAGACAAGATCAACCCGAACACCTGAAGAATCTGCTGTCAGTACTCATCAATACACTGGCTCGGCTCTTCACACGCTACCTGTTTGAATGCAAGGTCCTCTCCCAATGGAAAACCAGCAGGACTGTTCTGTTGTACAAGAAGGGAGACATCCACATCAGCCACTATTGCCCCATCTGCCTGTTGTCTGTCGTCTACAAGTTGTTCACTCGAGTAATCCTGAATAGGATTGGCAGAACACTAGATGAAGGACAACCATGCGAGCAAGCCGGGTTCCGCAAAGGATTCAGCACCATTGACCATATCCTCACGATAACCAGGCTCATTGAGGTTTCTCGGGAGTTCAAGATGCCACTCTGTCTAGCGTTCATCAATTTTAAGAAGGCCTTTGATTCTGTTGAAACTGAAGCGGTCATCAAAGCCCTAGCCAAACAGGGCATTCAAACTCAGTACATCAGGATCCTCCACGAGCTGTATTATGAATTAACCACCAGGATCCCACCATTCTCCAAGGAAGTGATCATTGACTTCAAGAGAGGCGTTTTGCAGGGTGATGCCATTTCACCAAAACTCTTTAGTGCCACCCTCAAGAACATCATGTGATAACTGGAATGGGAAGGAATGGGAATGAAGATAGATAGTCGGCAGCTTCACCACCTTTGCTTCTTTGATGACATCATTCTAATAACACCAAACATTAACCAGGTGGCACAAATGCTGGCTGACTTCGACCATGAGTGTGGAAAGGTCGGACTGCAGCTGAATCTCACGAAGATAATGTTTATGGGAAACGAACTAGTTCCTGATGTTCCATTTGCTCTCAACGGAATGAACATCTCCGAATGTAGCAGTTATGTGTACCTGGGTTGAGAACTCAACACGACGAACGACTTGGCGCCAGAACTGCACAGGAGGAAGAGAGTGGTATGGAGCGCCTTTAAGAGCCTTGAAGAAGTTGTTAAAAAGATGAAAAACCTCCGACTCCGGGAACATCTTTTCGACTCCACCGTTCTTCTTGCACTAACATACGCCTCAGAGACCTGGGCCACATGCAAACAGGATGAGAATGCTATTCTGGCCTCCCAAAGAGGAATCAAAAGAGCTATGCTTGGAGTATCATGCTTCACTCAAGTGAGAGAAGATATCCGGAGTTCAGACCTCTGTCAATGATCAAGATCAAGGATCAGGGACACTGCCTCGTTTGCCAAGGTGTCAAAAATCAGATGGTCTGGACATGTAATACAATTTGTAGATGACTGATGGACTAGAGCCGTTACCAACTGGATTCCATGGTACATCAAAAGAATGCCTTGCTGCCCACTTATGAGATGGTTGGATTCCGTCAAGACCCTTAATGAACGGTTAGATACTCTTCATATTCCTGGAGTGAGCAGATGCCATTGGGCTACACTAGCACAGGACAGGGAAGAATGGAGATATTACTGGTGACTGCTTGAGCAAATCAATGGGCAACGGGAGGACAAGTGATACAAGTGGTAACTTTGTTTTATTAGATCTGTAGTGAGACAATAGTTTCTCCTACTCAATAGGGTGTCATTTTATTTCAGTCATTGTTTCATGTTGCAGAACCTTTTTAGTTTGATGTAGTCCCATTTTTTTATGTTTGCTTTTTTTTTTAAATTAGTGGCATTGGATTATTGAAGATGTCTTCGAAATTGTTAGTAGTTTCATGAAGGTGTCTCTGTTATCCTGTTTTGTTTTTATAGTTTGGATCTCACACCAATGTCTTTAATCCATTTAAATTAACCTTCTTCAGGAACTATATTCTCTCATGGACTATATCTTGCTTGCTTGTCTCTTTGTGTCTTTGCTTTTCCCACTCTGGAGAAACCTGTGTTCTCTCTTTCTCTATTCTGACATCTAAGTAAGTTTTATTCAATAAAAACTATCTTGCTTCATATATAAAAAAAAGTTTGTGTGTGGTGTGGTAAGAGTCTACTTAAATTATTTTTGTATGTGGTTAACCCGTTTTTCCAGCATCATTTTTTACAGGTACTTTCCTTGCTCTGCTTTTCATATTTGGCTCTTTTGTTGAAGATTAGTTTATACATCGTGAGATTTTTTTTCTTTTTCTTTTTGGGTCATACTCGGTGATGCACAGAGGTTACTCCTGGCTCTTTACTCAGAAATTACTCCTGGCGGTGCTCAGGGGACCATATGGGATGCTGGGAATCGAACTCGGGTTGGCCGGGTGCAAGGCAAATGCCCTACCCGCTGTGTTGTCGCTCCAGCCCCACATCAGAGATTTTTTTGGGATTCTCAGTTCTATTTCATTTGTCTGAGAATCTTCCTTTTTTTGCAGTATTGCATAGTTTTGATTACAGTGGCTTTATAATATACTTTAAAGTCAGGGATTGCAAAGCCTCCCATCTTTTTCTCAGG